TTCGGTTTAAATTCATAACTGACTTTATTTATTTATATCTGCGGCAAAGCCGCCTGATTTTAAATGCATAGATTTTCCTAAACATTTATAGTAGAATCAAAATACATGTATAGCTACTGGCTATCCAGCCCCGTGCCGTATTCATGTTTGGGTGTGGTCACACCATGCCCATCGGATTAGAAGCACACCCCTGTTACCAGGGTATGTGTAACCCCGTTACAATTGGGAACATCAGCGTCGTCACATGCAAAATTTCAATATCCGAGCGACGCGAATCGCCACCATCATAGGCCGAGGGCATACTTGGTAGATAAGAATGACCAATATCCCATCTTCAGCGAGAAATTAGGTTCGAGGGCACTATTCGCGACGATGCATGACCTGTATAGGTTTAAACGTCACCTTTCTGTTGCACCCAACACTACTAATAGGTCTTTTGAATGAATTCGTAGCGCCATGTCTGCATAATTTGCACTGTATTGTACAGGCAGTTGGCCAGACCAAGCCACTTCCTCAACGCCTTTCGGGAACAAGGCACTGAACAATCGACAATTGTTTTCATTCTTGCAAAATTTACCCGCAGGCCCTGCTTCGTAATGAAATATAGCAGCAAGCACATTTTGTCGGCATAAAAGATAATGTTGACTACTAGGTAAATTGAAGCACATCAATTCAAAATTTAATTGCCCCAGTTTAATTGTGACTTTTCACGTCCAAATTCCCATGCACTGCATGGGTATGAATGAATATTGTCGAAGTAGATTGCGCATAGCCACGATGTGGCCTGAACAGCTATGTCATCAGAGGATTAATCGTCGATGGAGCATGAGACACTCCCTGTGGTATAATCAGCCACTCCCCGAGTATCCCCCTGGGAATATTCACCGCATTGAGAGGGGTATCGCTGATTCTTATAAGTAGCTGAAATAATTATGAAAGACTCAAAGTGCAGCCAAACAGACTGTTTCGCAGAATAATCCCCCTTGAAATCTGCGCTTGAGCCGAAATTTTCGTGAATTCATTTTATGATATGCAGGCACAATTCGACACTGGCTATTAGCCTTTCTGATACAGCAAGTTGGGGCGAATGTGGAGGTTAACTTACTGTTACTTGATCCGCTTTCAAACGCGCACGAAAGAAGATTTTAAAAATCATGTAAAGATTGATGACGTTATCAACGTGGAACATTGCCTAGTCTTTTGTCTGTGTTCGTGATATGACGTCATTCTGAGCTGGGCGTGGTGCAAACACCACGGGCCACTGGCCGACAGGAAGTCAAAAAGCTAGGGCCCACGCACAATCTCCCGGTAGAGCATTGGCCGCCAATAAATCCATCCCTGACAGGGAGCAGAAGTGCGTTTAGCTCGGGCATGAAGCTGTGGTAGCCTCCGAGGAGGAGATACGACTGTCTCAAATCGATAGCGGTGGATGCACTTGGTGCCCTGTGCAGAACGTACAAGGTAGAAGCGGCAGTCAAGAAAGCTCTTGGGATGATGATCCGGCAAAGGCTTTGTTCTCATAACACACGCCAGAGTATGTTTTTGTTGAGGGAGAAAGGATGACTGTATAGTGTTATTCCAGAGTGTACTTCTGGGTAACCGGTAAAAGTAGAGCTGTGAGGTGTTATCTTTTGTATCACGATCGGAAAGCCAGAGATGATGGAGCTAAAGGGCGACTGTAACTTGCAAATGGAGGTACGAACTTTGAGGTCAAATAGGATGTAACATACCTTTCACACCGTGGCGGTATCGCGAAATCATTGCTAGCATGGGAAACCGTTCGGATCAGTAAAGCTCAACGAGGAAGTAGCGATTCAGATTATTCACTCATTATTAAAGTAATCAGGAAAGCCCTAAGGGCTATGAGTCTCCTCTCACTACCTTTGGCGAAAGCTCTCGTGTAGAGCTTAAAGAAACCTCCATCGGGAATATGTGCATTGGATTCAAGACGGCGAGGTCAAACAAATGGCACGATATGACATGAAAGGAAGGAGGAGCTGAGCTCGTCGAATCTATGGATGATAAAATCATTGACGATACCCGCGGGAACTAGTTTAAGGGTCAACTCAGCTGTTCTTAAGAATCATTTGGATCCTTCCTATCATTTGTTGACAGACTATTACAACATAAGTATGAGTGTGTCAACTCCGGATATAAAGGTGTGCCATGTAATTGACTTTGTAATCTGGATTAGTTACGGCGTCACACGGCAATTGCCCATGATACGAAAAAGGTGTGTAGGTTCAACAGAAGTTTTGACGCAATTACTTGTCGATCGCGAAGACCGTGCTTTTGGTGAAGGCTTGTGCGCCGTTTAATTTGGTACATGGGAGCAAAACCTCAGTGCAAATACGCCAGAAAAGTAGGCACGGTAATGTGCAGAAAGAGAGTTGAAACCTTAGACGCAGTAGGTGCTCGTGGAGTGGTCAATTTTTGTATGAGCCCCAGGGTGGTCCACATCGTAGTGGGTAAAGTATATTAGACATTTCGTACAAATGAATAAAATTTATGTACGAGTCACATATCACACTTAGGTGAATCATAAGTACCAAAATTGCGATATTCATAAAGACCAGAAACTAATTTACAATCCTTAATCTTTGGTATCAGATAAACACAATTGTGTTTTTTCTGCCTTTGCTGTGAAACGACGCGACGCTTTAAGATACACACAATCAGCTCTTATGGCGACCAGTTTCGACCTGGACCATACATACTTGCACGAGACCGTAAGCGTTCCTCTGACCGAGGCAATGGCTCAACTGGCCATCTTGCAACCGGAAGATCCCATTGAATTTCTCGGCAATTTTCTACTCAAGCATGTGGCCAACGAGGAGGCTCAGCATAGAATCAAAAATCAAAGAAAACCATCGATACTCGTCACTCCGCTCGATCTTGCTCACAAAATGTTAGATGGAGAAGATCTTCAACAGCACGAAATAGAGTCAGAAAGATTGCTACGAGCTCAGCTGTTGAACGAATCGAGCGTAACGCAAATGTTGGAAAGATTTGCAGAATGGATTAGCGTGGAACTTAATGCTGAAGAAGCTTACATTGGTCGCAAGTGTGTTAATTCAGTGGGAGCCGCTATCGTCCATTTTATAGCAAGCTCTAAGCATCAAAAGTCTTCCGTAATCGACAAGTTCGTTGTTCAGCCAGAAAACGAAACGATTGAAGATAATCTTCGTGGAGTCGGCGTTACGTTTGACGTGTTTAAAGAAATTGAACCAGTAGATGAAAATGGTAATGCTGCAGTTGACGGCGAGAGTAATGCGCTTCCGGCTATCTTGCCAAAATATGTACATGTCGAAAATGTACTACGTGAGCCGAGAGTCAAATCATTTGGAATACCAAAGTTGGGTGCGCTCATTACACGCGCAGGTCAGTACAAAAGTTACTTGCATGCTGACGTATACAACGAGAGTGATCCAAATGAACCCAATGTACTGGAACAGTGGCTTGTTTTTTCAGCTGACACAATGGGTCAAGCACGGGCGTTCACCAAGAAAGAGGCCGAATGCTTTTATCATGCCACAGAACGTTTCTTGACTATTCTCGAAGAAAAAGAGCGTGCGTTTTATAAGAAGGAATACGAGCGATATTTATCAGATGATGAGCCTCGATTGCGAGAGTTTTCGGCGGCATTTGCTGAGCAAGTAGCTGTCCAGGAAGAGAACCTGGCAACATCGCTGCCGGCATTATCAGAAGATGAAGAAATTAGTGAAGCGAGTCAGCAGCAGCGTGCCGCAAAGGAAGCGGAATTTCGTTTATCGTTTCTGACAACGCTTCTCGTATCACACAAGACATCGTTATCGATTGAGTCGGTTCGTATCGTGCCGGTCAAGAAAGTGGTGCTTTCGACGTATGCAGCAGCGCTCGAGCTTCTCGGTCACACGAGTAAAGAAATGCACAGTCCTGCAACGGGTGAATTGAGTTGGGACAAGATTTCGCCATTGCTAAGCATAGACGTATTAGCACCGTGCTTGCACGCCTTTGCTGCTTCGCTCTTGACAATTAACTCACTGACAGAAGCTGGCAGCATGAGCGCTAGTGGACTTCGTGCCATACGAAACGCTTTACCAGCAACACCAGCGGCAATGTCTTCCGCAAAGCAGATCTTTAATGACACTTCCAAGACAGAGCTTGATGCTGCAAGCCCCGTTGCCTCCTGCTTCTATGTGTGGGGCCTTGCCGTCATTGCTCATGTTGATAGCTTAACGATTATGATTGAAAAAGCACAGACGCTCGAGGATGAAGCTGTAGCTGCAGGAAATAATGAGTAGGCCATCCAACGAAAAATGCTCCATCGAGCCGATAATAAACTTGCTACAACTTTTGTTCTAGCGCTCACATATCATAGCTTCTATGAGGTGGTCTTTCCGTAGCTGCTGCAAATCTTCTACTAGTTCCATTAATTTTTTAAGCTCAGCTGTTGCTTTGTCTGTAGTCGCTCGCGTGCTAGTCGTTTCATTTCATCTGCAAACCTTGCACGCTGAAGCTTCTGTGCTTCCTCATGTCTTTGCTGCGCGACATTGACCTGAATTTCTAGTAGTGCGTTGAAAGCGCGTGTGTCTTGTCGAGCGTGTTGAAGAAGCAAAGTCTCGTGATTATTATGCTTTTCTCGTGCCTGTATCATGGCTATTTCCAATACCGTCCTGTCTGTATCATACACGGATTTTAAACGTGCTCGTTGATGATTGCATTTTTCAATGGCAATCGCTGCGCGTTCCAACCGAAGACTCTGCAAGGTCATTTTGATTTCCTCGTTTCGTTTCTGAAGCGTTTGATGAGTCGATGCGTCAAATACAGCAGTATGACCGACGTGTTTAACCTCGTAGAAATAGTGCCGAGCGAGTCGTTCGTACCGTGGTTGCCACATCCCCTCTGGCTTATCTTTATCACTACTAGCACGCATCATGGATTCCACGCGCTGACAGAACTCACGGCTTGTCGGTAGTAATTTTGTCTCGGTCTTCTTTCCATCTTCAAAACTTTTATCAAGTAAAGGCAGTGTCTGAGATTCGAGTAATTCAGCCACGAGCTGCTCCCAAACACGTACAAATACTGGGTAGCAGATGCTAGCATCCCTTACCCATTCTTTGACCTCAGAAGGAGTATATTCATTTGTGCAGCTTGCTGAGTATTGATCCTTTAGGTCCCATGTACAGCTAGTTTTTTCCGGTAAAAGCGTGAACGGATTGCGTCCAATTGAGAAGACTTCGAGCTGATTTAAAAGCCGATGAGCCAGTTCTAATGGTAACGCTTGCAAGTGATTGTTGTACAAGTCTAGTTGACGAAGTGCAATACAGTGTTGAGCCATTTCGCGAGGAAGCATCGATATCCTGTTTCCATTTAGCTTTAGCACGTTTAATTCCGGAAGCTGATACATACATGGCTCGAACTCAACAAGACGATTTTCTCCCAAATCCAAGTAGTGTAGGCGCTTTAGATTACCCAAACTTGGTTCAAGTGGTGTTGTGAGTGCATTGTGTGAACATTGGAGACATGTCAAGCCATTCAGCATAGATAATGTTTCAGGAAGTTTCGATATTTGGTTGTGGGAAAGATCAAGTGATGTTAATGATTCGAGACACCCAAATTCATCAGGTATGGATGCTAGTTGATTCCAAGATGCATTAAATTCACGAAGGCTAGTCAAAGCTCCAAGCTCAAGTGGTAACGATGTTAGACAGTTACTCGAGAGATGAAGTACTCGCAAGACGCGTAGCATTCCCAGCGTGACAGGCAAAGCAGCAAGACGATTGTGCGAAAGTTGAAGCACCTCGAGCAATCCCCAGTGCTCTCCACATTCTGATGGGAGCCATTGAAGCGCATTACGTTTACAGTTCAGAATGACCAGTTCAGATAAATTTGCAACTGTCGAAGGCAGCGACAAAAGAGCGTTATTTTCAAGCTTCAACTCTTGTAAAGAAGTGATTGTGCCGATGCTATCTGGCAACGTTGAAAGAAAATTATACGACAAGTTCAGGCTACGAAGACTCTGAAGCCTTGGACCAAACATTTCTTTGCCAATTCTCTTTTGCTCACAAGCACTTAGATCCCAAACTTTTAAGTCTTGAAGTTGTTGTAAGCTTTTAGGTATTCGTTTGAGAGTAGGATTGCCGCGCAGATCAAGCCGAGCTAATTTAACAAGAGACTCACCAACTTCATCCGTAAGACCTTCAAGCATATTGTCGGCCAAATTTAGTTCCTCTAATGACCAAAGACCTTGACAATTATCGCCAAAGCTTGTGATCCGATTGTACGTAAGATGCAGTACACGCAACTCATGAAGATTTGTCAGAGCTACTGAAACATTTTCCAGTCGGTTACTGCGGGCATTTAAGAGCTTCAAATTCCTTAGTTCTCCAATTTCTTTTGGAAATGTACTTAGCTCATTATAACTGATATCTAATGATTGTAGCGCGATTAGATGCGTGAAAACATCGCTTGGAAGACTTTGCAGCTGGTTGTGTGACAAATCTAAGATGATAAGACCAGAAATGGATGAAGGGGTATCTTTACCAGGATACAAGTCGTGTGAAAATGAGAACTCTTTTAGCTGTTGACCACGTAAGTCCAAGGTGTCGTCGCCTGAACGGGCTTGAAGTTGCAGATTTGACACCATCAGCTCCTCCATTTCGCCTTCATGATTCACACAGTTCTCACCCTCGTTGTCAGCCGAATCAAGCAATCGCTGCTCTTCATGAGCTTGTCTATCTTTGACCAATTGGTCCTTCGTTCGCGCAAAACTAGCAGCACGTCGTTGCAGCTGGCCCAATCGTCGCAAACGTTTCTGTCTAGCTGGGCGTTCATTTTTAATGTGAGATACTGATTCCTTAACTTGAAGCGTTGCGCTGAGCTCTTCCTCTTCCTCTCGATAAATCATATCCAGCAATGTCTGCCGCATTAACTTCGTAGTCTTTTTTCCTGCTTTTTGGCTGACGGATATATCGAGCTCTTCAGTAATTGTTGCACGCTTTTGGAGTTCAGCTCGTACGTCCACAAGCCCTACCCATGCGCATATGAATTGTTCCAGCGAAATTGTGGAGGCTTTCGAAAAAGTTTCACGTGTTACCTTCCGAGTGCGTTTAGGAGACAGACACACACCGAGCGTTTCCAGTGCTTTTTCGTATTCAAGAGCATTGAGTAGCTTGTTATGGTCACTGTCAAACTGATTAAAGACGTCGATCGGAGACAAAGTATGCACATGCTCGGTACCTTCATGCGTCTGCTTTTTCAGCAGATTGCGTATGTATGTGACATACATCGCAATAGTGAATTCCCGTTCATCAATTAAGCCTCTATCATTAAACAGACTCAGCAAGAGGTATCACTCAAAAGTATCTACGCACTTGTTCTGCTCATCAACCAGTTTGAAATAGCGATAAGCTTTTGACTCTAGTAAGTCAACTTTCATGAATGCTAGCATCTGCTTGTATACTTTTGAGTATCGAATAAACAAACATGTAAGACCACAACGCGTGAGTATCATCATTGCAATGTACCTTCAAAGCTGATTGAGCCTGACTTTTCCCGGTCAAACATGCGAAAGAGCTGGCGTGCATTGCGCCGCAGAGCATCAAATGATATCTCTTGACCGTGCTGCAAGTAGTTTTGCTCCACCTTTCTTTCTTCCTGCAAGAAACGATTTGATAGCGATTCCATCTCGTGAGTCACTTGATCCGCTGACTTAGTTAATTTCACCTAAGACAAAAAAACACCAAAACTGAAGAAGCAAAACTGCATTTCATTTTTAACTACGAAAATACTTTTGGCATCAACGTCATCAGCGTTGATTCACCTTTCCAAGGTTAATTTTTGAACGTGCGCATTTGCTATTGTACAGCGTGAATAAATAGCGTCGAGCATTCAGAAGTGGCGGCGGTAAGCATTTGCTGATGATGCGACAGTGCTTACGTTACTGGCATACGTGCCAGTGGTGCTGTATGAAGGCTGCGAGTAGTCTCTATCATCCTCTTGGATAGCTGCCACCGAGCTACCGAATGTCGCATTGTTCGACGCTGTATTACGACCGACAGTGGTCACCTTCGTGTACCGCGATGGAATTGTGACAAAGTACTTATTCATAGCCAAGCAAAAGCGTTTGCGATAGTGCTTTGGATTAAGGACGGTGATCTCACCTTCCTCTTGAATCAGTCGCTTGCCAGCGTGTTCCATCATTTTCATGAAATCATATTTGTGTATGTAGTCAATTATGCAAGCCACGAGCTCCTGTTTGTTGACATCGTAGCCTACCAGCATAGAGTAGTCGGTCGCTTGGACGGACGCTAAAAAGGTTGTATCGTTTATAATCGCAGACAAAAGCAGCGATAGCGCAGACTCTTGCAACGGCAACGGAATTCCACCCGCTAGCTCCACAAAGTTGCGATCCCATAGAACGCTACGACTATTGCCATTGTAGTCCTCTTTGTAGCGTCCTTCCATCTTACCCTTGAGGTCAAATGAAAAGTCCACCTCGCGCCCGTACATTAAATTCTCCATCACAATTATACACATCCGGACGTTTTGATCGCTAGTCCCACCCTGAGTTGTATTTGAGATTGAAACCTTATATATACCAAGTACTTTCGAAAGCATGGATGACAGATCGTTCTCGAAGGTTTTCGCCATGTAACAAAAGTATTCGTTCGCCATGCTCAAAAACATTTGCAGCTCGATTTCCGGAATGGCCTTCGCGATAAATCGTTCATCACGCGTCTTGAGGAAACCAGCTCCAGACTTTCCGCCTGCTGCAATCCATTGTTGGCAGTTGCAAAGCGATTCTACGTAATTTCTATCCCCACCGTAGTACAGTTTTCGAAGCGCGTGAAATTGCATAGCGTAGTAAGACTTGCAGCTGAAACGCATGGCAGACTGAAATTGATTCTCATCGACAAAAGTGTGGTCAACGTTGTTACGCGTTACGGATCGCAGAGTACGTAGCATGCTTCTGATCTCTTCGGATTGATCACAATTGGACAAAGAAGGAATCCCGTTTGTGTTCGATTCGAAGGCATATCGTGCATCTTCCTTCTGCATGTTCTCTTTGATGCACTGGCTGTACTCTTTAGAAAAGAGCGAGTACGCCACCACCGAAGTGGGTTGCTTTGCATTTACCAAGACTGTAACTTTATCCACCCCCAGCGGTAAGCTGGGGTGCCATTCAAGAAGGCGTTTCGGTAAGGAAAGATACCCCAGACCGTCAGACTTCTTTGCTTGTTGCGTTAGTCGAAAACTTTCGATAACTGTTCTAGAGGAAAGAGCTCCTATCGTCGAGGACACATGACCGGAAGTACCCATCATCGAGAAGGACTGTTGGTAAGATGGGACTGCCGGAAATGTGTCCGATTCTATCTTATAATCGGCAGGAAAAGAGTGACTCGATTCATCATAACGATCGTAGCTATCATCCGTATCCCATGGCTCGGATTGATGAGAGCTCGTCAATCCATTCTGTCTCAAAGTGTTGGCTACTTCGTTAGCAACCTCGGCCATTCCTGTGGATGGCGAAGCATGCTTTGCAGCTGCCAAACAGCGTGCAAAGCTTGCAAGGTGCGCTAAGTTTCCAGGCTCTTGGAAGTTGAGGTTCACTGGTGTCATTTCAAGCACACTTGGCGTAAGAGGTACGTTGTACCGATCACAAGATTCCGCTTGTTGGGCCAATTGATCAAACCAAGCCTTAGGTAGAGCGCTCTTTGGACTACTCACGAAGCTTGCCATCGTAGGTTTCACTGTCGCCTGCACGGCTCGTGTAATACGCAAACTCCACCCAACAGCGTATTCGTAAATTTCCCGAAAGTGAGCATTGTATGCAAACACGTCTTGTGGTGGGTCTGATTCAATTTTCGCTCCAAAACATGAATACCACTGCTGGACTTCATTCCGCAGTATTTTTAAGTTTTGTTTCGCGTGAAGCGGTGTGACTAAATCTGCCATTGATTCAGCGACTTTTGAAGTTGTTACATCGTATACTTCACGAACAAGATCGCAAAGGTCATGGATAGCATCAAGCTGGACCTGGAGATCGATGTGGTTCGGCCATAGTGCTGGCTGCAACGCAACGTGAAGTACAGGCTCAAGGGGTTCGACGTGTATACTAACCACTCGCCCTTGGCGAGAGAAATAATGGACTAGTGATGCATCTCGGGATCCATTAACGCCGGCCAAATGGGGAAAGCGGACGCAGTCAATGTCCATAGCTTTTCCGTAGAACATATCTTCCAAAAACTTACCAAAGGAGTAATTCCACGTGTCACTCGGAACCACCAAGAATTTAGACGAAAGAACAGTAGATGAGTTCCCACCGCTTATATTGCGCGACCACATAAGCACTTCGTCTGAACGAATCCGTTGCAAAACAGCGCGGTAGGTAAACCCTCGAAGAAATTCAGCCGGGGGCAGCTGATCACTAGTATCCTTATAATTACTCAAATCCTTCACCCGCACAATTAAACGGCAAGTGTCATGGGAGAAAGACAGCTTCGACGACATAAACGCACGTTTAAACTCAATTTTACTGTTTGAAAAACAGAATTTGTCGAGAAATTGGCCAACAGACATGTCATTTGAGGTGTAGAAGTCGATGCACATCATGTCTGCTTTTGATGCGGTTTTTCCTTCCAATGTGCTCCAGCAGGTCGAAAAGAGGATGCGATCTCTAAGCGAGTGGGACGACTTAGCTCCGCAGGAGCACCAAGTAAGATGACTGGATTGAAAAACGGAAGCACTTGCTGAGCTACTGTCATCTTCTGTTCCCCGGACTCCTCGAAGAGAACTAATATTGTTAAAACGTGTGTGCGCTTTGCACCATTTGCACATTGCCTGCGTCTCCTTCAATGCGGCTCGCATCGACAATGAATTTGATTTTAGCGACAAGTACATTGAAGTTGACGACTTCGCGAACCAATCTTCTGCAACAGATCGCTCGTGGTTTTGACAAGGAGGAATGTATCCAAAAGCTGCCAGCAAAGATCTTTGCAGCCGCATATTGTACGCAGCACGAATACTTGTGGTCAACACATTCGTAATCTCTGTAAAGACATCGGGTGAGCCTCCACGCAAACACAGCGTACATCCCTTTGAAGTTATAACTCCTTCAAATACGATATTTTGGCGCTGAGTACGCTTCTTCCGCTTCTGAGAAATTGCAGCGTTGTCTTCCACCGTGTGAAAATAATCCACATTGGACCCAGCAGCAATGTTTTTGGCACTTTTCGGTTCTTGATCGCTTAACAGCACATAAAATCGTTTACAAGTACCGACGACCCCGACATCTGACATTTTGTCAATGTGGTCGTACGATGTCAACACAGACGCACCCGTACAGCGAGCAATACGCTGTAAATCGAGCAATCGTACATTCTTCACAACGGAAACACCGGCTTTAAAAAGAAGTTCTTCGGCAACTCGATGAACGTGGCCTTCGAAAATTACAATGTCAGGATTCAGAGTTAGGATTTTCTCTGTGACAATATGCATGTACTCCAATTCTTGACCAGCAACACTTTCCAGCGATGAAATTGCATCTTTTCTGCGTTGATAGTCTAATGCCGAGGCAATAAGCAAAATACGAGGGTTTAGGATGTCGCTCCTCATGCCTTTGCGTGCCAAACTCTTGTGAACGAAAACACCATCGATAAAAAAACTGTCTTGCACGTGTCCACCATCAAGACATTGTATTCGAACATATTGCATAATATCCAGAGAGTCTCCCCTGTCAGGTTCGCAAGATACCGAAAATGCAGCTCGCTGAGCAAACAAGCTAATAATCTGCATCCATCGATGTTGTTCGACCATCAGCTCTTGCGACACTGCTGGAGAGCTGTCCAGCAACTGAAGGATACGTTCTTCTAGACGATTGCGGGCATCTTTTGACATTTGATTTAGAACAGCTTCTTTTCTAGAAACAAGATCCGCGTCATCTGTTTCATTGTGAGCATTTTTAGATAGTCCGATCATAGCAAGAATGCCAACATTATTCGGTGTTTGTCTGGTGCAGCCAAAGGGATCTCGCTGCACTGCAATCCCAAATCGCGGTGTGTCAAATGACGCAGACATCGCCTTCGGACGCATTGTCATAGCATTCGAAGCGGGGGGAAATGTACCGGCAAGTCGAGCCTGAGCGTTTGACTCTGCAACAAGACGCTTGAACTCTGTCTCACTCCACCTATGATTACTTGGGTTCCCTAAATCTGCCTGGCTATTCAAGCGCTTTAGCTTCTGACTTGCATGCTGAGCATCCTTCCTTCCCAACAAAATCTGCGGCTCACTTAAGGTTCTTGGTCTGTGACCCGCGCCGTGACCTGATTTCTCATTTTCCGTCGTTATATCATGCAAATGCGGCTGGTGAGCCAAATGCTGTGCACTTGCGACAATCTGTACCTTCGGAAACATACTAAACAGCACCGGCGGTCGAGACTTTTCAGGCGCTTCCGTCACTCGCATCTCATCGCTGATTTCGTCCTTGTCAAACAACTCCGGCTTTTCCAAGCACTTATAATTGGATGCGTCAGACGTCGAGCGTTTCATCGCATCGGCAATGTGCTCTGGCATGAGAAGCAGGGTCTGACCTGGCGGCGAATTGGTGGTATTCTGCACATTGTCCTCAAAATTAGCACCTGTGAGTTCCATCTGTAGTCCTTCTCGTAGTTGGCGATGACACGTGTGACACACCAACTGCTTTCTCATTCTTTCAATAAACTCATCGACTTTGTTCCCGCCAAATGACTGCGGTAATCGTGTGCAGCAATTTGCGCAAAAAATTTGACCACACGAACGGCAATGATGCTTTCTCCGAAAAAAAGTGAACAACTGCTCGCATTCGTAGCAGGCTTTGCTCGATCGGTCTGACATCCAGAAGTGCTTTAGTGACCTGGATCTTTGCCTTCCGAGCTTCGGTGAGTTCGTATCATGATTCTGCATGAGCTCCTGTCTCAGAACTGGGTCAGCATCCTCCTGAAAACACTTTACACCCGGCAAATGCTGACCTTGGGGTGATGGAAACTTCGTGAGTGCGAAAGGGTTGCGGTCAACATTCATCTCGTGCTCTCGTTGAACCAATTCAATCTCAATGTACTCACCGATATCTGGTACCTCAATATACGTTTCCGAATTGCTAACATCATTAGCAAAAAGTGCACGTCGTATCGTTGCAAGGACATGCTGTAGCTTCACACCGCGCATGGATTTGCCGTTAATAGCAATTACCAGGGCAGCTGGATGAATACCAAGTACCTCGGCGTTACTGCCAGGAAGCACAAAGTTAACGCAAACGCAAAAGTCACGGTGTGACGAGGCTACTAACTGCACGCCTAGTAACGCATCCATGGAGCCACCCACGCACTCGCCTGCACGCGGTTTAAGCACTCGCAGAGTCGATATTTTCTCTACAGACCTCGTAAAACGATCAAGTGACGTGTAGCCCGCCAGATTCGCTCGGCTCGTTCGCGCGATGTGCGTGCCGGGGCCTGTAAAAGGCGGACCTTCGGGTGCCGAAAAACGACCCAGCTCACGCGACGACGAAAAGGACGGTACTTGCCCATTGTTCGCTTCCTTTGGGGACTCGACTGTAGACACACACGCGCTTGTAAGCTGTCGAATGGCTGTGCAAACAGAAATCATTGCGGTTAAATTGCCGCGAAATGCGCACCGCCTACTGAAGTTGCTGAGAAGTACTGAAATTACAATCATTCCTTGGACTTTTGATGCCACATTTGAACAATTTGCGGTTTCACTGAAATTGATTGCACAGAATTTATATGATAAATTGACGAGATTGTGGGAACAATTAAGTCCATGATGTAACAGACGTCTTTTGGTTGGACTTCTGCGTTTTGGTTATGACCCAGTTATAAGAGTCTGGTTAACCTTGGAGCAAAAGGACTCAGTTAACTTGGTGGGATCAGAAAGTAATGTATTTATACTGATATTTAACATGAGACGTTATAAAGTTTAATATTTGCGTTGCCTGATATGCTCACACATTTTTTTGCGGAATTCCATTGCCTTCATTGGTACCAGAAATTTGGTGTCTTGAGTATTCACGATTACACAAAAGTATAATGTGTATTCTGTACAATTGTATAATATAAATATTGCACAAAATGCAGCTCGAAAATACACCTTTCCCAACAAGATGCAAATCACACTGGAGCTACTCCTGTTGTCTTCTTAATACATTGTGCTAAATGAGCACTCGGCAAGCACCCATTGCACTTGGCGCTTCAATCTACATCTCGCACCCTAAAGTGCTTACCCCCACCAAGAAGATTACTGAAAAAAAGAACTCTTTTCGTTATGCCACCCTTTTGCACGAGTTACGAGCTTCGTGACTGTTCCCAACGGCGAGAAATGCTGCAATTTCTTGCCGCAGGACTCACAACTACATTAAGCTTGTCACTAATTTGCTGGACCTGGCTCAATAGACCAGGCTTATACCTCAGCATCTCCAAGCGCAGGGACTTATCTTATAATGCCAAGCATACCCGCCGCTAAGGCTAAAAACGATACATGCAGGGCTTCTGCTCAACATGAGAACAAAATGAGCGCCAAAAGGCACTGCACGAGCGTGTTATGCTGTACCAATCAGGTAATTTATATACTCTGCGATGATTGAGCCGAGGATTATTAGTGTTAGTAAAAGTGCTGAACAGTTTCGAAGTCAGTTTGCGCACTGGGGTGACAAAGACGTCGTCTCACAGCTTCACAAATCGCTTCACGAAGCGGACGTCAGCCTAGAGTGCTAGCTTTACAAAATGAAGAGCAAATGCATCCATCATGGTGAAAACTTATCATTTTATTGCCTGCATTCCCAGTCCCGCTAATTGGGACAGCAATTGCATCGGCCGATCTCTTTACAAGGTCAGCCCTCACAATCACTAATCAAAAGTGCGCTGCGACGGGTGACTTTGCCTCTTCTCGACAAAATGTAAGGACCGAGAGTGTGCCAGGGCGGAAGCTAATACGGCACCAGGACAGTCTCGCCAAAGTGGAACCCCAAATACTCATAAGAATGCAGAAAATATATCGATATCGATTCACCATACAATGGCAACAGCCAAGAAGAACCCGCCGGCTCAATAATCATTCTACGTGAATATTGGCCAATCCATGCTCATCGAGCAGTCAGCAATAAACAACAACTAGTCCTCTTTAGATTTGTTTCGGGGTGGCGGTGCGTCGGTATACTCTGATAAAACTGGACGTTCGGTCGAATTGAAACACGCCAGCACTTTTGAGCTACACCACCGCACTGCGTGGCTTGGGGTAGCTTCACGGCTCATAATCATATTGTTACCTTCTAGTATACCGCAGATTAGCTTAAGAACGGTAAGGACACTATCCTGTCCACATCAGATCGCTTCGCATCCAAATGGCTCGTAAGAGCGGAATCGTGGTATGGCTTGGACATACCAATGCAGACCAAAAGATATGTATTCTCTCCGAAATGTTACGAGTGCAACCATGTTTTTTTTCGCTACGGCCGTGAAAATTCGATGTTTCATGGTCGCAGCATGACTTTCCATGTGTATGCTAACAAATCGCAATTTTTCTAGCATTTTATTATACAACATATTTGCATGCGTTCCACCTGCCTCTACTGGCTTTCTTTATCTTGACTTTCAGTTTTAGGGTCACGCACTATGTGCACGACGCTCAAACTTTTTAAGATATATGACTGATTTACCACGAAGTGTTAGCCGGGCTAGTATCAGCAAGTCGAATTTGATCGACATTCCGCCCACCAAGACCAGAGCTACTTCGTGAAGATGTCAAAGGCACCCGAGTATTCCCGAAACTATTTATGTGATGGGGTAACGCTTGTAAATGTATACACTATGGTCTTCAACGCAAACTCAGTGAATAATTTCAACTTGCTCCAGAACATTGAGCGAAAAATATTGCCAAACTTTGATGGAAGCTGCCAATCTTAGTTCAATATAATGGTAACCCACAAGCCGTTTTGGCGTAGAACATTTTCCAGGATTACCTTGGTCATTTATAATTGCCACTGACAGCTCAACATCAAGAAGAACCATTCTGCCCAGACAGTCAACAAAGACTACACCGCAGGAATTTTGGGAAGCGTCTTCTGGAAATCCAAAAAAAGTATATACTCACTCTGCCGAAACAGGCAGGTTGGCTGAAAATGCTGACGTATTCTGCGAGGTTCAAATCCGTTGACATGTGTCAAGCGAAACCACACACTTGTTATACACGTTGGAAAATCAGTACATAATGCTCATTCTTTTCTTTTCTCGAGGTGAACAAGCATTGGCTCCGAGCAATTATCTGCATTCGATGTCCTCATCATGAAATTCCACCGTAGACTGAGTGCCAAGTCGGTCGGTGCTGTAAGAGAGATCGGTTTGGAAAAAGACTGTCAGTTGAAACATGCAATTGAGCGCTTCAATAAAGGGCAACGCAATTCATACTGCATCAGACCTGTATGCGCTACGTATTGCCTCGCAATTGGCAACGCTATCAACGTACTTCATAATTTGTGCGAGGCGAAAGCCATCCGCGAGCAAATTAAGCCAAATCGGTTCATACTTGCTTAAGAGTTTACTTGGCAATAGGAGTAATCACTTGTCGTTCATTGAAACCAATGTGGTGACAGTATCGTTGTGCAAATCACCGCATGATCTCTATACATAGCAAACTTCTCAGAGCCAAGCAGATGCTTTCAGAACTTGAAAAGAGCATAATTCATAACAAAAATGTCCATGTCGTGAGCTGGGTAGATCTTTTTGGCTGCTGTAAGCCTGCCCGCCTCAAAGGTACTCAGCACAGCCTAAGGCAAAGAATGAGTGTGTGACAGACGGCAATGCATAGCTGGTTCGTACTCAAGCGAGCCAGAATCGCATGAAACTTTTAATCATAGTCTTTAAAATGCCACCTTAGCATCATTTAACATACTGTTGAAGTTTGCGCTAAACTTGTGCAGGTAGGTAATCAGGCCAAACCACTTTTAAAGTCCTTTTTGGACAATGGTACTACCACTTTGCTGGGTCTTCCAGACAAAGAAAACCTTAAGAAGGGACCCTTTATTGGCGAAAAATGCACACTGTTCGATATTGCTTTCACTAATCATGTTGAACCGCATAACATCTAAAAAGACCGCAAGTGCTTATTGTGGCTCCCCCCACCTACGCTGAACGACTATTGCTGATAGTATTGTCGGATACGATTTAGTCTTAGGCACGATGATATAAACAGCTGGTATATCGAACAAATGAACATCGCTGGTGCATTAGACGCTTTTTATGGTATAACTCGCCGATTTCGTTCGGAATACTTACTGTATCGAGCGAGGCATCGCAATCTATCACGAGAAGATATCATTAGCAATTAAAAGGTTTGTTGGCATTGAACAATGTTCAGCTATTCGCCACTTGCCGTTAGTATATTTGGTACAAATAAATTGGCCAAGTGGCGGATTCACTCTCTCTCACGGAACCCGCTTCGTATTTTGTACGAAAGATGCGATTATTATGTTAGACTGTTCCTAATCTCCGCGAGCTAAGTCAGTACCATGGCGCATTTTTATCTGTAACAACACGCCTGCTGAACCTCTCATCTGATATTCTGTCATTTAAAGGGTAAAAGTGATTTGCCAAATTCACGAGAATAAATGTTCCACTCCTAACACTCAGTGATATACGAGTCTCAGTGCTGGCATGACAGATAATAATCTCAGCCCTCCCGCGGTACGGACAGTACCACTTCTTTGACCTTGACGTCATTACTTTCCGCATCCCTTTTCTGATTCAATTAGCGATTCTGCCGTAGGTGGCTGAATAAAACTTATAACCTTAAAGCTACCCGTATCATTTCATCCACGAGTGAAACATATCTCTCGTCAAAACCCCATAAAGATTCACTGCTATGCTCGGTGTAACACGATAGTGCTGGCTCTACATAGCCGCTGTAACACAACAAGGATGGGGTGTCCCATATAAATATGAAACCTGGCTTTTCTACTTCCGACACCTTGTCCATCATCAACGTGGACGATTCTGACGTAGGGGATGCGAAAACCTGCTACTTTGACTTTTTCCGATTCTGGCATACGTAACATTAGCCCGTTGCTGTGATTGACCATTTCGCCAAAGATGCTCATCGTTTATTCCTGAATTAGCAGGAACACACCTTGGTGTCCGCGACATATATTTGCTTCTCTGGCTCATCTTGGTACCATTACTCTCTCCCACTTCTGCCCTATTAGTTCTGCCCTCGGCAATAAACAATATTTTTGCAAGTCAGTTTGTGCAATCACATGCCCCACACCGAGTGAAGCCAATTTTACATCCACACCGAAATCCCTTCTGCTTCTTGGCAGAGGTGATTTTATGACTCATCAGCGCTCAGCCAAAATAAAAGCGCGCCATATAATAATTGTCACCTTCCTGTCGGTCCCAAGTTCATGACATATAAGCTACTTCATCCCTATTGAAATCTGGTGCTAGACCGCGTTTCATGCTACTAAAGCCGGCAAACTTCACCTGACGATCAAATGAAATTTTGACGCATTGAATAGTTTATCATCGCATGATACATCCAAACTGTATTCGAAGTTGGCATCAATGTCTTTGTGTACTATTTTGCCAGGTGCGTAGTGCGTAATGGCCGGACGCTCCGGAGCCTATCACGCCTTTTTAAGTTTTTCAAAGTGCAATCAATATGTTGATGTTGACAATTAGCAACATTGGACTGTGAACCGTACCTCTCTCGAAAAGGCCGCTATTTACAAAGCTGGCTTTTAATGACTTCGATATATACAGATCGCAGTGAGGATCAGACTATTATTTGAAGGTTGCTCTAGGTCTTCTGGATTTCAATATTTCCCTGTAATTTCTTTGCCAAACAGATCTACGTGGGAGTTCAGGCCTTCATATATTTCAGTTACAAGCTAACAGAATACGCAATGCGCAGATACTTCGCGCTATCACGAATACCGCAAGTGCTTTTGAGGTTCTTGGCAACAGAGAGATTTATAGTTCCTGATCAGTATGCCAGATGTCCATCGCATCGAATAGGTTCCATTTTCGCCCCCTAACCGATCCTTACGGCAGAGAAGTTTTATTTTGCAAAACCGCAGAGCACATCGCCTATTCAAATAAGATATGAAGGTCTTGAATGGAGTGTTTTCACATTTGTTTGGCTGCTACACGAACAACACACACAGCTCCACTTCTAGCTGGTTTACAGGTGGCTCGCCCGTCCTCGATCATGATATCCAGCGTGGTGAGTGTGAAGGTCCTAATCGCCGATGCCGCAGCTCGCTGTCATCTTTCACGACGTGGTGGCCTCAGTGTTGAGATTCAGCGACTTTTCTTACTCCTGATCGATTCCTAAACGTACGGCTTTACGCACAGGTTCACTGTCACACTGCCCGGCATTTGACGCTGTAAAATAGTTAATTAAATATAATACGAACAGAGGGTTCTTGTAACGGGGTTACACGTACCGTGGTATACAGAGGTGGGGATCACACAAGTTGATGTAAGCACACAATGGTGTGGCTACGCCGTAACAAGAAGCCACTACGTGGCGAGACTGCCAGTAGGTATGCATATTTGTTAGGTTTTACTATTTGATTGGGAAAACATAAGGTTTTAGATTTAGGCGGCTCTGTCGCAGATAGAACAAATAAATACATGTTCAATTCAGAACGGAAGAGTCTATTTGCCTTGGTTAAGGTTTTTAAGTACTCTAAAGGTAGCGGATTGCGATCCGCTACACTGGTACTGCTTCTGGTATAGAAAGTAAGGTCGGTGACCTTATCCAAGCTTTCTCTAAGCAAAGAGCTCAGGCAGCCCCGTTGCAGTTCTCCAAACGAGCATTGCTCCCAGAACGTATCATCTAAATGCGTCGCACCATCGTTCCATAGCCGATAACTTCCAAATCAGGATTATTGTTTGCGCTTGATATATTGTGTTCGATCTTCAACTCTGTTTAGTCCTCAAATATGTCGCGCACCTTGCACATGTGTGCCGACGCTGACCTAGATCTTGTTTACCCACGGTTAAGTATAACACCACGTTTGACTGGTCTTGAACTCTACCACTTGATCTTGCATTCAAATAGCAATCTCATTTGTAGTGGCCCGCCTTAACACGACCCTTATGATCCCTTCTTGCGTACTCCCCCTCGGCTGCTTTCCATTGCTCTTCCTGGCAAGTATTACGGTTGCTTTCAATGCGCGTAAAAGCCTTCTGCCGCAATTAATCCGTAATCAGCTTGCATAATAATTGTGCAAGCCTAAACGCCTGCATCGGCATGTGAAGCGCTTGCACCAGGCTCTCATAGGGCCCGAAGCATTAACAGACGTGCTTTTTTATTGGCTCGTAATACACGTTATTTTTCATTATCACGAGCTTTGCCAACTCTTCGTGTGCTTACTGTTGAAATCCCCCGCGAACTTAAGTGATGAGACTTATCTTCTAGACACTGACGATTCACCATGTTTGCGTCTTTTGAAACGTCTTGTAACGTTTCTCACGCATCCTTTGTCGTCACAACGTGCATCAGCTACAAATTGCTGAACTAAGCACAATTGCCGCGTGCGCGTGTTGCTTCATCAGCTTGGACACTTCGTCTTTACCACCGACTGCCCCCTACAATACCTTCGACATCGGGAGCATTTTCACCTGGTAGCTTCACAAAATGTATTTGGATCCGCCAAAAGGCTCGATTCTGAACTTGGCGTCAATGCTTGGGCTCATAAGCTGCAGAGGTATAGATGCTGTAAAACTTCTGATTTTGTGCTAGTTTCCGAGATGGTATTACAAACAGTGAGTTATATTTGCAAAGTCAAATGTCGTGGCTGTAAGCCATGGTTCCGTTATCCCTGTGTTTGCAACAATAACGTACCGTATATATCTGGTGGTACTGAATCATACGCAATATGAAAAGTGATTGTCCTGTGGGGGGCATTGCTTGTGGAAGACAAGTCCTGGTAAACCCCGAACACCTGTTCGGAATGATTAGTGTAATTAGAATAACCACGGAGGAGATTGAACCCAGACCCAATACTAAGCCAATCTGTCAGTGTCGCAAATCGCAACTATTACCATGAAATATAGAATTTGAAGTCATGGCACATCACACTTCAAAATCCATTCTCTTGTCGTCGTAGAGTTGTTGGACGGGCATTTACCAAATCAAGAACGACATTGCTGTCTCGATTTTGCTAGCTTTTCTGTCACTATGATTGACCCGAAGGGCTGGTAAAATTTGGGATGTCAGAATCTTGTGTCAGATATTCAACTTCGACGGCTTACATCTCCATTTTGCTGTCGGTGCGGCTGGCCCATGGGTAGTACTCGTTTCGCTTTACCCAAATCGCGATTACGATGCCACATAACAATTAAGCGAGCCAACATAGGTTTCAATCCCAAGCAATATTTATCAGTAAGTAATTAGTTATTAAATTCGATACCACCATGCTCTTGTAAAGCGCTTGAACTTGCACTTATTGACTATCAAATCGCTTTTAAAGACCCGACTAAGGTATCGGTATTCGTGGTTTGTTTATGATGACCGTTGGACGAATATGATTACATAAATTTGATAAGTTCGTGAGAAATATTGAATAGTAAAAGACCTAGCTTGGGCAGTTTACATCACTTTTTCGAAAGCTCGTCAGATCATAATGATGGCTTTCGGGAACGATTTGGACGGCGGCATGTCGGAACGCTTGCTGGAAGAGGGCGAGTCAAGAAACCGCACAGATCCCAATCAAACTATTGGAGAGTATGAACTTGTTGAGGACAGAGAGACGCTTGTGTTCGAGGACGACTTTTACCTGAAGCAGCAGCGCGGCAAGCGTAGCGGGTGTATTCAAGCATTCCTGGTCGAGACGATCCAACCTGGATCAGGTAGCTACAGTCTGCAGTCTCTGAACTGTGCCTACTGCTAATATACTGTACTGTTGTGGTTTTTATAAAGGCTCTATGTTCACCATGACCGTTGCCATCGTTGGTGCTGGCATTTTAGCGTTGCCCTACGCAGTACAACAGACTGGTCTAGTGCTGGGCATTCTTTTGATCGTAGAAGGAGCAATTGCTACCACTTTTTCGTTGAGAATTCTGCTCGAGTGTTTGAATCTTGGACAGGCGCGGTCGTACATGGATTTAGCTTTAGCTACAGGTGGACACAAGCTTGCAGCATTTACTCAATTGGTTGTGTGCATGAATTTATTTGGAACGTGTGTTGGTTATTTAACGGGTAGTGCAGAGCTGATTCAGTACGCGTTCGAAACAGTTTTGAAGAGTTCTAGTGAGACCCTCCTTTTGAATCGACAAGCGCTGATTTTGATGCTGACTGGTTTATTAGTGCTACCATTGTCGCTATTACGAAGTCTGGACTCACTGCGATTTTCATCGTTGTTCTCGATCGTATGTATCGTGTTTATGACGCTGGTAATTGTGATTAAATACTTTCAATTTGTGCACGAAGAGCTGGCTCCAACGATGGCGTATCAATTAAAACACCTCCCACTATTTGACTGGCGCTTAAGTCATATATTACGTGCAGTGCCGCTTGTAGTGTTCTCGTTCACGTGTCACCCAAATATTCCTCCGATCTACTTGGTGCTCAAGCGTCGCTCTAAAAGAAGGATGCACAAAGTCATGAACCGCAGCATTGGTCTCGCGACGACTATATACTCACTTTGTGGTTTTTTTGTGGTATTAACATTCGGTGAGGCTACTCGGTCTAACTTTCTTAAGAATGACTATCACGGCGATGGCGCGGTGATTGTTGGAAGTCTTGGCTTTAGTATTGCTTTGATTCTGACCGTGCCGCTTTTCGTTCATACGTTGCGTGATAACATTCGTGAGGCGCTGCTGGCGAACTGTCGACTAGACGTTGTCTGGCATGTTACTCTATCAATGTTACTCGTTGTTGCTGTCCTTGTTGTTGCTCTAGCATCGAAAGATATAACGTCTGTTCTAGGTTTTCTAGGTGCTACTACCAATCCGACAATTTGCTTCGTGCTGCCAGCGTATTTTATCGGTCGATTGGGCGGACAGCAATACCGGATATTTCAGATTGTCGCCAGTATATTGGCCGTTGTTATGACTGTCGCCAGTGCTTTGAGCCTGCTTCAACAAATGAAGTTTATCTTTTGATGTGCTAAGATAATTTTTCGCAATACGACAAAGAAATTGAGTTAGTTAACTGTTTTAATCTCAGTTGGAAAGCCATAATTGATATGATAACAGCATGAGATATACAGAATTATTTAAATCGAGTGGTCCACACTATGGATGCAGTAAACGTCTAATTGAATGCGGATAAAAACTTCAAATGAGCCGCGATACTGATGTACTTGTTCGCGCGTTAGGAGAGCTTGCTATGACGCTGCACAAGCATCGTCCTGGCAACTTTACTTTCAATAGAAATAAGCGCACGATTTATAAGTGGTTGCACAGTTTAAAAGGTGAGGAGATGGCATCATTGAGCTGCGTGGTGGATGCGGGCTTCGTCAAGACGCTGCTGCTCATGGGGTCCCGCTCAAGAGCTTGCCGAGACAAATATACGTGTGTACATGAATTTCAATTGCTACCACAGGCTGCTAGCATTGCCTATAAACGCACCTCAACTAACACGCTACGACGAAACGCTGCAAGGTCAGAGAGCCTATCTCATGTTTACGGAGTTTCACTTGACCTATCTGATTCTTCTTAGGGATTTTGTGAAGCGTCCAATTATACGGACAGCAGATGGAGATTTTGTGAGTAGCTTTCATACAAAAGAATACGAAGTTTGCTGTTCTAAGCTGCTAGGAGGATTAAGAGTACTTAACACCTTTCAGTCGTGTGATACCGTGGCGTTGTCGATGGATTTTTTTCAGCCAGTAAGTAAAAGAGACAAGACGTTTGCTGCCGAGTTTTTCTACATAATGGAAGTGATAGCGCATGGGAATTTTCTGATGGAGCGTCCGTCTGATACTGCGCTGAAGCATCGTACATGGGGAGAAACGAAGGTATGGGAGCTGGTATAAAGTTTAAGAGAAACATGATCTGAGTGACTTCGCGTCTTTTGATTTGCCCAGTGGCTAAGAAATCAAAGCTTTTACTCCATCCAAGCTCTATTTGTTAATCAAATCGTGAGTAACAGCTGCAGTTTCAGTGCTGACGCCAAGATTAACAGCGGGTCAAAATGCATTTATGTTATTTGTGGACGATGTTTGACTTTGTGATGTTTTTTTCAGGAACTTAACATCTGGGCCGCATGGAGACAACGTCAAAAAGATGTGAACTTCGAAATTCCTTTGCAAGGTCTCGCATCCAAACTTTTTTTGGCTCGCGAATGGGAGATGGCAAGTTCTGAGCAACAAAATGCAGTTTTAAAAGTTCTGGCTTCTAGAACAATTGCCCATGTTAAGGATTTGAAGCAATTGATGACAATTGAAGCTAGGGCAGCAGACATGTATAAGTCCGCGCGATTCTCATTGGAAGCACTTATCAGCATCTTGATTAAGACGACAGGACCTATGGATCACGGTGCACCCGTTGATATTTGTTTCACAGTTTCTTTTGAGGACGCGTTTGTGTCTCCTCAAACAAGCATAATGAAGCTAATACAAGCAGAATACTTTCAGGAACAGTGCTCGCTACTGTTATGTGAAAGATTGTCGAAGAAAGATGAGAAATCTTTACTGAAGGGCACAGCTCAGATATCGTTTTCACACGACAGCATGACGGACGATGGATGCAAGAAAAATCCCAAAAGCTCCAATCATTCTCAGCGGCGCCGAGCTAGTCGCAAGAAAATGATGAAGCAACGACGTATTGACAACGAAATTCGCGCAGCTCAGCATACACGCTTTCAAAGCGTATTGCGAGAACTTCTCCATCACTTTCGCCAAAAGCAAAAGGAGGCTGTGGCATGCGCGGATAAGCAGCTTCACAGAGTTATAACACCGGTCGTCGACAGCCAGCTTACACCTGGTGGGTGGACCTATACGCTCAACTCACGAGATATCTCATTATCAAAGCACAAACGAAAAAATAGGAAAGCGAAAAAGAAAAAAGACAGCAGATTGAATTTGGGGCCCGAAGACAGAAATCAAGGGTCTACACTAATGCTTCAAACTACTGGTGCGACAGTCTCATCGTCTGTCAGCTTTTTCCGAACGAACAATGAGGAGTATCCCGAAAAATGCAGTGTTGCGACCGCTGGCTCGGAGTCATCCTCAGCTGAGCGTGATAAACTGCGTCAAGCGGATTATATTAGTAACAGTGGTATTCCGCGTGGCGATGGCTCACAATCGAGTTGTTTCTCCAATGATAGGTCGACACGTACGGCAACCGCGTCGATCTCGCCTACTTCATCTTTACCACTACTTTCATTTGAAACACACGGTCTATACTCCTCTGCAACTACGACGCCGTATTTTCTGTCGTTGGTGTCACAGGATGAACAATCATCGCGTGCTTTGCATCGAGAGAGTGATAAAGATGGGGTGGATTCTGGAAAAAACCAATTCACTTGCGATGATTCTCGAAGTGTAGCTCTTGAAGATCATTTGAAGTCAGAAACGTCAAACCTTGAGTGGTACTTGCCATCCGTCTTTTCACTACAAACTCCTCCCCAACGCACATTGCCTCCAATGCCTTCCCTCGACTGGCATTTCGATCACTGGCAGTTGAGAGCATCTGATGGAGGTATTTCGGACAAGGGTGTATCGTCTTCTATGGCTGTAGCAGAGCTGGACCCGCTGCTAACGTCTTCCTCCTCATTGTCAGCTTCTCCCGCGTCATCATCGCGCTTTAATAATACGAGGCTATCAGGGTCAACGAAAAAGTATTCTCTGGCATCATTTTCCAAAATTGCTGGACTGGACGCGAGCAGATGTGGAATTGCCCAGTCAGATTATGACAAATCAGAATATACAAGGGCATCAATACGAGAACACGATAAGGGCGATATGACTGCTGCGGACGAGAGTGACTTTCTGTATCAAGAAGGGGGATTTTTTGATCGCCAGCGTTCACTTAAACGTCGGCGGCGACCGTGGCCGCTAAACGATACACACGAAAATGACAACAAGGAAATTGCGGAGGAAACTGATGACACCAGACGATGTGTTGGTGTGCTTACAAGAGTGAATAGCGATGCTTGGGCAGAGTGTGTTAATTGTTGTAATTGTGCTTGCCATCGCAATGTTTGCCTTCGAGACCAGGAGAAAAATTCATCCGAAGAAAAAGTTAAAATTCATCGTAACAATCTTGAGCATCAATATGTCGATAAGACATCACATCTATCTGCACAATTGAGTCGAGTTTCAAATGACGATACATACGCCAAATTGACAGTGGCATTCGAGCGCATTACGCAGCTAGAAGACAAATTTGCTGAAAGAACAAAGGTCCGTGTCTTAATTTGTGTGTTAACGCCTGTCGTAGCTTATCATTTCATGGCAATACCAATCTAGATAGTGGACGAACAAGCTACTAACACAGCTATCGAGATTGCTACCTTAAAGCAAAATGTTGCGACGTTGACAGCTCAGCTAATCAATGTCGAAAACAGTGTCCAAGAGTTGCAACAGCAGAGCTCCATTAGTGTAAGCCGTCTAGAAGATTCATCATTAGGCAACGCGAGCTCCTGCAGTTCGCCTCCTGCTCCATTTTCACCCGCCCCATCGGTAGAGCAACAAATTGAACACCCGTCTACCGCCGCGTTTCCAGCTCCAGATGCTTTTGCAACGACAAACTCGGCAATGGGACCGTTCGTTTCAGTCCCTTTATCGGTGCTACCGCCACGAAGCAAGTTGCATTGGGATCTTTGCGAATTTGCTGCTCAGCTTCAAGCAGACAGCGATGCTCGCCTCCCAGCACAACTTGCTGCACAACAGTTGTGCACGGCCACAGTGCAGTCATTGTGGCCTCGCGCTCAGGTGCGACCTTACGGATCGCATGTAACAAGACTGGTGCTCCCGTCAAGTGATGTTGATCTCGTTATCTGCTTACCCAAGGTACGTCGCGACGCGCCTGCTGATGCAGCTGGTGTATTGGAAGGTCGAAATGCTATAAAAGAGACATGGCAGCAAAATCTCGCCCGCAAGTTAAAGCAAGAGCCGTGGGTTGTGCGGGACTCCGTTAAAACGCTACCACATGCTGCCGTTCCAATCATCACTCTTCTGACTGCACCGCCGTACAATGTCAGGCTGGACATATCGTTCGAAGGCCCTGGCCACAATGGGTTGGCTACGAATGATGTCGTTCTTGCCTTGCTGCACGAATTTCCGCCGCTAGCCCCAATGATGCTTGTTCTGAAAAGTTTTGCTATAGAGCGCGGCTTAGCGGTAGCATACACGGGAGGACTGTCATCATATGCACTATTGCTACTTGTGGCTCGCTATCTTCAAGAGCACAGCGACACAATGCCTAATGGCTTTGCAAATGCTTCCAGAGCTGTTCAGCACAGTTTGTCAACTGCCCAAGCAGGTGTGGCCGACTTTGGTCTGATGCTTATGGGTTTTTTGAATTTTTATGGCAACCGATTCGATCCACGCACAACGGGTATCAGTGTGGCCTCGCGCTGTTTCCTTAACCGCGAAAGCAATTTCATGGCGGGAGCTATTGCTGGG